TAAAAGTAATATGAAATGATAAGATATACGAGCATATGTAATTTTAGCTAATCCTGATATCTATGGTTAACTGATATCTAACCAAATGAATGTATGTATGCTTATATGTGTATTTATATATTTACAATATACAGTTGATCTTTTGTTATGATAAATTTCATCGCCGTATTAAAATCTTGAAATATCTTGGTGCAAACTGCATAGTGTTATACACTATACACACTATGTTATATTTCTTTCCTTCTCTTTGTGTCTGTATATGGATTTAAAGTGTTTGTGTGCGTTTTGCGCTGCTGTTCTTTTTTCTTCAGACTCAGTCATCATTTAGTGCTACTGCAGAGTCTTTTTATAGCATGACCGAAATGGTATTCCTGTATCAAAACCATATTCAAAAGTAAGATACACTCACGTGGAGGCACATATACAATATGGTAGGTATACAATAACACATGTAACATCACATACACAAGTGTAATATAAGTGTGCTCGTAAAAGCTACAATATAATTTAAGTGAAATTATTGTCTATTACATGTTTTTGTGGTGTCGTGGTCAGCACAGTCGCCTCCTACGCGACGGATACAAGAATGTAATTTTTATGCATAATTTTTTGTTTGTATTTATATATATATCTTTCTACTTTTGTTTCTGTCTCCTCCGGTGTTTACAATGCGAAGGAGTAAGGAGTTGGAGTGTCTGATATTGTTTTTTTTATTTGCTTTGTTGTTTGTTGGTGTTTATGCGCGTTTTCGTAATTTTGCTGTTAGTCCTCTCATACGCATATGACTGTATTAGTGAGATGAGAAGCAATGAATAGGTGGAGGAAGAAGAGGACGAACACGTGATGAAGAGATAGAAAGAAAAATCAAGACGGAGTAGAAAAGGTGTTAATGTTATCTTCGTTCCACTTTGCCTACTTCAGATAAGAGATACGATTTCATGGGAGAGAAGAATGATCTCTCTTTTTCTATAGTAGCCTGATGTTTACCTATATATTTGGAAAGGTCTGTTGTCACTGTAGTTCACAGGGTCATGAAATAAATGAATGCTCCTTATGGTCCGTCGTGAAATAAAAATGCAAAGTAGACAAAGCAGGCAGTACAGCTGCCAAGGTAATAATTNAGAGAGAGAGAGAGAGAAAGAGAGAGAGAGAGAGAGAGAGAGAGAGAGAGAGAGAGAGAGAGAGAGAGAGAGAGAGAGAGAGAGAGAGAGAGAGAGAGAATGCATATAATATACTATACAACATTCAGAATGAAAGCTACAACTCACCTCACATGTGTACGGATAAGACAGACAAATGTTTTTCTTCTGGGTTGAAACCAAAGTTTCTCCATTAAATGCTTCAACGCAGTGTATTGTCTCTCTCAAGAACCAGTTACCTCTGCGAGTACATAGATGGAAAATTATTAAACAATTGATAACTTCAAAAATATACTGAAATTATAGTTTTCAGAAAATTTCTTTTTCCTCATGAGTACCTTTCTGGTAAATATAAAGGGAACCTGAATTTCCTTCCTTGTCTCTTTTTAGTAAGCTACTATTTCTAAATAAATCTTTAAATATGTAGATCACTATCATTCATTTTAATTACAAATAAAATAATAATAAACCTGCAGTAAGAAATAAGTTATCGTATATTATTTCGAAAATAATTATCAAGAAATCTTATGGAATCGTTCTATTTTAATTCCTTGTCATATATTCTATATAAACTTGAATATTGTTAGAATTGATTATTCGTCAGATGGAAATAACCTTCATACATATATGAAGGAAGTATATTAATAAATGGCTCTGCATTATCCTAAGCAGCTACTCTCTCTCACTCTCCTCCGTTTTATATCACCTGGATCCGCTATTTGGATAATATGTTATAATGTCATATGTTACTTGGAAAATAACATATGACATTATTTCATAAGCCATTATATTTCCAAATGTTTACAATTATTTCATTACCAAAAATAACGAAATGAATAGGTAAAAGACGGATATCAAAAGAAATGGGTTTCTTGAACAGTTTGGAGGGGGGACATCGACAAGGTGTAGGACATCAGCTGCTGAAACGACAAATAAAGGTGTAAGAATTGATAGAGTCAAGGCTAAGGGAATATCCCCTTAGCCTTGGACAGAGTGAAGCTAGACTCGGCCCTTCACGAGGTGAGTGACCAAGCATGAGCCGGGAAAGGGATTCGCTGGGAAGTGCCCAATCTGCCCAAGTGTAAAGACTGTCACCTAATAATTTGACACTAAAAATATGTTAATAGTATAAGTTTCTCAACACCTGCATCATATATACCCTACCATCATTATATTAATGCACCGTTGCACACATTCACTTTGTGACTGACAGGTTGAGTGACAATGCACTTTAAATCAATTTGAATCTCAAACTTTACATTGATATAGACATAAATACTTTCTATAAGTATATGATTGTGTGTGGCGGAGCCAAGTGGCCCATCACACTCAAGCTGACCCCAACCTAATCGTGCTTCGCGATTCATGAACGCGACTGGAGGTCGTGGTTCGTAGGAGGCACCCAAAGAAATAAAAGGAAAACAAGGGAATCCATACCTAAACCTTGTTTTTTGGCCAAAGCTATTTATTAATGTTTAGTAGCTCAAGAGGTGCTATTTAAAACGATACATTATTCACACCTACAAATATTACACACAGTGTGTGTGTGTGTGTGTGTGTGTGCGAGAGAGAGGGGGGACGGGAGAGAGAGAGTGAGAGGGAGAGAGAGGGGTGGGTTGCAAACAGTAGCCTCAATAAGATGGGACTGAAACATCCAAACACTCACTCCTTGCTTTGACTAGCGAATCCAGATCACCCCCTTCCTCCCCCCCCCCCCCTCTTTTCTAACTATGTCCAAGTTGTTTGAACGTGGGCCACCTTTCAGGGCAAGAAGGGCAAGATCTCTTCAAGCTAGGTCCGGTGAGGCGACATCGCTTTTGTTGTTGAGTGTACCATCTGTAAGCCATGAATGGAAGAGTGCCAGCTCCAAAGAGGACTATTTCCATGCTCAGGATCCTATTCCTGCTCTGCCATGACCAGCAGCACAGGTTGAATTGCAGAAAATTGAATATTACAAAAAAAAAAAAATTACACAAATAACAAAACACTAGTTACTGTTTTTATTATTGCAATGAGTTAAAGACTACCTGGAAAGATGATATGGTCTGTGCACGGAAACAGTTAATTATCATCTGCATGAAGTAAATCAAAGGGCAAATACAGACATTGGAAAATGGAAAAAATAAAAATAAATAAAAAAGCTTTTGCAGAAAAGAGAAAATAACATTGCAAAGGGGTGACGTGATGTCTTGTCACCAGACACAGGTGTTTGTGTGAGCCCAGCCTACAAGCCACACACACGGCAGTGTGACTGCTAAAGTAAGCCTAATGCCTGTATTTTGGGTTATATGCAGGCAGTGAAGCATCTGGATCCAAGGGGTTCATCTGGTGAAGTATAAGAATGTTTTATCATATGACAGACAGGCTTTCAAAGGAATGAATATGCAGATGATGATGCATATGCAGATGATGACCATGACGATGACGGATGATGATGATGTTGATGATTACGATGATTATGATTATGATGATGATGACAATGACGATGACAACAGCATTGTTAATACTGATAATATTGATTACTTAAGAACAGATGGAAGATTCAACTCACTGCACAATATTGTAAGCGAGAAGGAACACACACACACCCAGGCAGTAGTGCATTCTTAGAACAAAGGAGTTAACAGTGTCTGGGGCACTCTTGCGGTCCTTCTTCCTCTGACCTATGATGCCCTTGGCTAACTTCAGGATATTTGGTGGCTCATTCTTTCTGTAAAATTAGGCACACTGAGTGAGCATTATCACACTGTCGAGTTTTAGAGTTTTCGAAGCTATACAGTGTTAAGCTTCCAAGACCTCCGCATAGTAATGTTAAGCCACATGCACCAGGTGTCACAAATATATGACACCTGAAAGACACTGTTGTGATAGAGAGGATTCACGTGAGTATTCAAGAGGGAGCGGTAGAAAGGGTGGGGTATGTTGGGAGGGTGTAGGAGGAAGGGGGGTGGATAGAACTTGAGGAGGAGGATGGATATCTGCAAATACTTCAAATGTAGGAGTAGGAACAGAGGGATTGGCAGGTGGGTGAGGGAGTTGAGTGTTCCCTTGGGTCATCTTTAGGAAGTTTTGGAGGTCTTTAAGGGTTTCTGGAGGGGAGTTGGGTGAGGAGGACTGAGTAACAAAGGTTCTCCTATGAGGAAGAGAAGAGGAGACAGATATCTGAGGAGCAGAAGATGAAGAAGGTGTACGAGTGGGTGGAGTGGAATGTTTAGGTTGTTTGGAGCGACAAATAAAGTGAAGAGGAGGGTAGGTATCGGCAAAGTGGTTGAGATTGGAGCATCTGGATTTAGATTGGAAAACAAATTTCACTGGGGGATAGGGTGAGTAGACATAGGATGGTTTAGGGTATAGGGAAGACATACTGGGGGAGATCTTATGAAGATAGTGAGTCAGCAGAACGAACAACTATTTTGGAAAAAGTTGCTACTTGTTTGGCCTTAAGTAGAGTGAGGCCTAGTTCGAATCTGAGGACTGCTACCTCACATTTGAGTTTATAGGCAGGGCAACTCCTATAAAATACATTATAGGAGTCTCTACAATTGGCACATGTACGTGAATGAGCAGGGCAATTTGAATGGACATGACCAGGTTGGGCACAGAGAGGAGAGTGGGCTGTGGAGAAAGTGTTTGGCTTGGTGGCCAAAACACCAACATTTCTGATATTGACAAGGAAGGGGTTGATATGGTCAGATATGGTAGGATAATTCACTATTGTAAACTTCAAGTCCACGGAAGCAAATTTTTGCAATACTGACATGGGACTTGCACTGGACTCTGGGAGGAGTAGTGTAACATTACTGTCACAGCATTATAATCAGCAAGTCAGGTAGGTGGGTCATTTTCACAGTCTGACCAGCCCTTGTTGCAGAGAGGACAAGCACAAGTACTAAGAGTGAGGTAAGGTTTGGAAGGAATGGGTTTGCCAGTGAGGTCAGTTAGGGCAGAAGTGCAATAGCTTGGAATTCAGCTTTAACTGTGACAAGACGTGAACTGGATTGTAGCAACAAAGAGTATTCAAAAGGTCTGCAGAGGTAGAGGCAGAAGAAGGACAGGGGTGAGAGGAAGATGGGGTGGTGTGGAGTGGAGTCTTTCTATGGGGGGACGGCAATAAGGATGAAGAGTAGTAATAAGGGAGGAGGGGGTAGACATTGATGGAGAGGAGAAAGTTGGGAGAAAGGAAGGGGTGCCTTCTGGAGGTTGAGTAATATCCTGGGTGGGTGTTTTGGAATAGATAGAGTTGTCAGTAAGCGTCAAGGTGGAGGTACTAGTATCAGTGGTCAGAGCTGTGGTCAAAGGAAGGGCAGGGGTCAGAAAACCATCAAAATCAAATTCAGATAGGCTATTTGATGAAGGGGTAAACTTTAATGCCCCTATTACGGGTAAAGAATCTTCATTATTGGCCATGGTGAGCCTGAATACAATGGGGAAAAAGAAACGGTCTACCTCTCAGGGTCTTCACAAGGGGTGAGGGCTAAGCAATTAACCAAGGGAATACAGTGCCCATGGCACCCAGAGGCCGTTATTAACTGACACAAAGTCATCCTTTCATCCTTTCAGCACAGCTGTCACACCTTAGGAATGGGATAGAAGGGGATGAAGAAGATAGGAGAGAAGAAAAGACCAAGCAAAATTAGTTGAGGTGAGGGCCAAGGCAGAGGTGATCCCCTACATTGGGCCTCAGTCTCCATCTCCTAAGCCCTCCCACGGCAACAACAAGCAAGGTATTGGGAGGGCCCCGCAAAATAAGAGAAATAAATATAGGCAGATTTTTCTTTGTACATACTATTTGCGCTTCTTTTCTTTTCTCTTCTCTTTTTCATTATAAGAGTTAGATATCATTCCTACTGAAGTTGCTCTTATAGCCAACCTATGGTATATGTTGCTAAGAGGAAGAATTAGGTCAACAGAGACAAGACAAGATATATATCAAGAAAAATATTTCAAATAAAATACCAATTCATAAGTAACACTATATGGGCATTCTTGTTTGTATGTACAGTGCTGTTTCTTCTCTGTTCATGCTAATATGTGATTTAGATTAAATGACTGTCATGTATAATTACCTGGATTTTTCTAAATTTAACTAATATACCTGAAAATCTTGTATTCTCAAATTATCAAAATGATGTTAATTAAAATATCTAAAATGCTAGATTGCAATTCTGGAGATACTTTTGTCACTAAATCATCAAGAGATTTCTGGTGAAGTTTCAAGCTACTCTTGCTAAGAACTAAATACACCTATTGTAAAAAGTAATTTCAATTTTCAACTTCCGTCTTCACGATGGGGATTTCCAATTTTCTAATCTACAGAAACAAAATATAGACTACACAATCTTTCCTCTACTTTCTGACACTAACGAGTGACACAAACTGTGCATCAACTTACTCATTTTTGTTATTATTATTGTTGCCATTTGTGTTGTTACTGCCGCTGCTGCCACCATTATTATTGCTGTTGCCGCTGTTGCCATTATTGTGACTATTACTGTTATTTTTATTGCCATTATTTGAATTGTTATGGTTGTTGCTGCTGGTACTACTAATGTTCTTGTATTGGCTAAAAATATTACTATTATTCTTCAAATTACTGTTACTACTATCACCACTATTACTGTTGTGTGTGCTGTGATTTTGAATTTTGCCCTGATTTTGTTTTCCACTGACAATGCCACTGTCACTGCCACTATTACTGTTGCTGTTGCTGATACTGCTGTGATGACTATTTTTTTGCTGTCCCTGATTCTGTTTTTTCTGACCTTTATTTACATTATTGTTAGTATTGCTGTTTGTTTGTTTGCTTTTTCCTTGGTCCCCCTTACTGCTATCTTCCCTCCCCCCTCCCCCTTTTCCTCCCCCTTTTCCTCCCCCTTTTCCTCCTCCTCCTCCTCCTCCTCCTCCTCCTCCCTCCTCCTCCTCCTCCTCCTCCTCCTCCTCCTCTCCTCCTCCTCCTCCTCCACTTTTCCACTTCCCTTTTAGTTTTTTCTTGCTATCACCCTTCTCCTTCTCCTCATCTCTGCTCGTTTCTGGGGTAAGAAAGGGTTCAGTGCTTGCTTCTGGTGTTGGGCTGGCTTCTGTCTCCAAGAGCGAGGGGACTTCAGTGATTTCGGCAGTACTAGGTTCATCCCCATTATAGAAACAGTCTTCACCAGTATCACTGACATCACCAATATCAGCTTCAACGAAGTCACAGTCTTCTGGGTCACTGCCAGAGTATTCTGTGATCCCTGTGTTCTCACATAATTCTTCACTCATTTTTTATCACACAATGAACATCTGGATGGGAAGAGAAGCACTTTCAACAATTAGAAAATATGGGAAATTGTATTTACACACATATTACAAAAATTATACAGAT